CCGTCTAGCTCTCTGTCCAGAGAGCCACAAGACTGTGTCATCACTTTTACTCACATCTTCAAGCAGAGTATAGCACTTTGTCTGGATTTCTTGGGTTATCCTAGGTAATTTATACTATGTATACTTGTATTTATGTTTACCTGTGAGACAGAGATAGACAGTACAGATAGAAAGAGAGAGACAGATTGAAAGAGTTAGAATGAGGGAGAAAGATAAAACACCATTGTGTATGACACCATGTTCAGAGTTCCACAAGCTGCAGAACTAATAGGAATATGTTCAGTGACTGTATATTGGTATATATATTATAGAACAATAATAATAAAATGTTTTGTATTGTTTGTTTTTGTAAACAAGTTTTGTAAACAATATATTGATAATTATGTTTGTGTGCTTATTGTGTTGTATACAACGAGTGTATATATGTACATTGCACCTTACTTTGGTCTCATAGGCCACATAAGTTATGTGAAAAAATAAAATAGTGAAAAAAACAACAAACCTTCAAATACAAGTAAATCAAAGTTTACCGGGTGAGCGGCAGTCGCCGCTGTTGCCATACGCGGCTCATTTTCTGCAAACTTCATGCATCCATATCTCCGTAAGTATTGATGGTAAAATTTTTTTGTTTATCCTATAATGTTTAGAAAAAAAAACTATTTTTTCATAAGAAAAAATAATTTTTTTTTTTTTTGAAATTTGGCCGACCCTGAAAACGAGTTTCGGAGAGGGCCTGTCGACCCTCAAAGGGTTAAACACTTGTTCAGGTATTAAGTTTTCAGTCTCTGTGTATTCCTTAAAGTCCTTCATATATTTTCAGCCACATTTTTGTCTGAACTGGCAACCTCGCCATGCCTTACCACACTGTGTATGCCACTGCGATTCTTAAATCTCTCAAACCAGCCTTTGCTGGCCTTAAATTTATCAATATCGTCACTATTTTCAGGCATTTTCTTAATGAGATCATCATGCAACTGCCTTGCATTTTCACAAATTGTAGACTGAGAAACACTATCTCCTGATAATTGTTTTTCGTTTATCCATACCAATAACAGTCTCTCTACCTCTTCAATTATTTGCAGTCTCCGTTTTGAAAACATACTTGCACCTTTCGCAACAACAGCTTCCTTGATTGCCTTTCTGTTCACCAAGATAGTACTGATGGTTGAATGGGGTTTGTTGTATAGCTTTTCCAACTCAGACATATGCACTCCACTTTCCTATTTTTCAATTATCTCTCACTTCATTTTCATCACAATTCTCACCCTTTTTAACACAGGCTTGGCACTAGAAGCTTTCTTGGGGCCCATGGTGGCTTATTTAGCAGTTACAAGCACTGGAATAATCCAAAATATATGGCAGGTACACGTGGAAGTGACCGCAACAGCTTGTAAAAAGTGGCACACTGAGTCTTGGAGTGGATGGGCCCGCTCAGGCCACGCTCCCACAGCATGGACACGTTCTGGACGAACGCTGTTAGACAAGTTTTTCGTTGTTGGTAGAGCCATTTTTTACGCCAAAGAATGCTGTTAGATGAATTTGCCATTACTTGATGCCGCTGTAGGGCGGGTTTCCACTGTACGTATATGGAATAGGAGGTAGGTTATTGAAAGCAGTGAAAAGTTTTTACAAGGATAGTGAGGCTCAGGTTAGAGTATGCAGGAGAGAGAGAGAGAGATTATTTCCCAATAAAAGTAGGCCTTAGACAAGGATGTTTGATGTCACCATGGTTGCTCAATATAATTATAGATGGGGTTGTAAGAGAAGTGAATGTGAGGGTGTTGGCAAGAGGTGTGGGGTTAAAAGATAAAGAATCTAACACAAAGTGGGAGTTGTCACAGTTGCCCTTTGCTGACAACACTCTGCTTTTGGGAGATTATGAAGAGAAGTTGCAAAGGTTGGTGGATGAGTTTGGTAGAGTATGTAAAAGAAGAAAATTGAAAGTGAGTATAAGAAAGAGTAAGGTGATGAGGATAACAAAAAAATTAGGTAATAAAGATTGGATGTCAGATTCGAGGGAGAGAGTATGGAGGAGGTGAATGTATTCAGATATTTAGTAGTGGACGTGTCAGCAGTTGGGTCGATGAAAGATGAGGTGAATCAGAATTGGCGAGGGGAAAAAGGTGAGTGGTGCTCTGAGGAGTATGTGGAGACAAAGAAATTTGTCCATTGAAGCAAAGAGGGGAATGTATGAGAGTGTAGTTATACCAACTCTCTTATATGGGTGCGAAGCATGGGTGGTGAATGTTGCAACAGGGAGAAGGCTTGAGGCAGTGGAGATGTCATGCCTGAGGGCATTGTGTGTGGTATGAATATAATGCTGAGAATTCTTAGTTTGGAAATTACGAGGAGGTGCGGGATTACCAAAACTATTATCCAGAGGGCTGAGGAAGGGTTGTTGAGGTGGTTTAGACATGTAGAGAGGGTGGAACAAAATAGAATGACTTTTTCAGGCCACCCTACCTTGGTAGGAATCGGCCAGTGTGTTAATAAAAAAAAAATGGTAAATAGCTACTGATGTTGGGTTGAGCTTTAGGAAAATTGTTTGCAAGATTACTTACTCTGTAGCAAAGAAGTTACTAAGTTTGTTCACAGTATCAGGAGGAGGGGAGGTTCATTTGTTTTAGAGAGGGTTGTTTGTTTCTTGAAGATTTTTTATCCTACAATTTGGAAGTATGTTCTTCAGGTTTGTTTTGTATCTCCTTTGGAATTGTTAAATCTAGTGGAATAGCAGTTTTGATGATACTTGTGAGGGTTGCAGAATGTTTCTTCACTGTTTCCTTAGAAATAAGGATTGATCTGTATTTCACCATGTTGTGTTTCTTGATTGATCTGAGTTATCCTTGTGTGAGCCATGGGTTATTTTGCCTTGATTTGTTTTGTCATTTATGGGCAATGTATATCATAGTGATAG